AGAAATGAAGACTAATTCAGGTTTAATATAATTACTTTATTTTTGTGTATACTTTTACATCTTTAACAGGCCTTTCAGATACATTATTTAGTTAGTTCAGTTCAGCAAGTATTTTCTGTATACAAATTATGTACTTGATACAAATAGGACCAATGTATTGACTACCAGGCACTGGTATAGAAAATGTGTAACACATTATTTTAAGTAAGCCTCTCAACCACCCCATGAAGGAAGCATAGTTGAAAAGACTAATGTACAAAAAGGATAGGTAACTTGACCTTGGCCTCACAGTATGTCAAAAGTAGAGCTAAGATTTGAACCCAAGTCTGTCTCACTCCAAAACTGACATTCCACTCTGACTTTAAGGAGAGCTATCAAACTGTAAGAAGTCCAAAGATGAGAGACATGAACTTTGCCCTCAGGTTAGTTAAAATCTTCTACAGTAGATCAATTGTTATATAACTAAAATAGGATATGCTTGCATGGATGAGATGCAACTAAAGATGCAGACAGTTTGAAGAAAAAAGACTATATTTCAAATAAGGTACCATGATATACTTTGTGGGAAGGAGAGCATTGAGAATTGGATAGACTTTTGAGAGGCTGTAGAGCAGAGGTCACGGTCAAGGAAGCTTAAAGATCCTGGAGCTGGACTTTTGTCCAAGGTTTAGCAGTCGGTTAGTGGTGGCATCTGAAATACAGGAAAGGTCTTTTAGGAGTAAGAGGAAAACTAGAGGGAAAATATAAAACAAAGGAATGGAAGCCTAAGAACCAGGAATAGAAGACAGAAACCAGAACTTCCATGTGGAAATAGAAATAAATGTAAAATCCCATGTGAAAGAAATAGAAATAAATGATGACTGTGGAGCCAATAGTATTTTTCTTTCTTCTGCTTTAGATAAAGTGACTGTGTCTTTCCTTCCATCTAATCCTTTCTTTTTAAATCAGTCTCATACTTTCTGTTATTTAAGATCTAGGTCACATTAATTACCAATCTGTTTAGAAATTACACCTAAATTTTGGTCAATTTAAAAACTTACCTTTTTTTTCTTTTTTTTTTTTTGGTGTTGATTCTCACACAATGAATATCATTATTGCTGAGAATCTACTTTCTGTTGTCTGTTTACCTTCTAGTGCTCACCTAGCTGTCAGGACACCACTCACAGTGTTTAGGTCTTCAAATATTCAGGATGTACGTGTGGGTTCATGTAGATGACAATTCATTGAGAGTTTATTTGCATTTTGGGGTTTGAATAATTCATTTCTTCACCTCCATTTTTGCCACTGGTTAGGAATTGCTTTTACTTATATTTCCCCACATTCTTCTACTTTACTTTTATCTGGAGAAAATATTTAATGTAAATCAAACATACCCAAAAGTGTCATCCATGGAATTATTCTCCATAACTTTCAGTTCAGTATTAGATCCATTAAATTTCACTTTCTTTCTACTCATAGTTGGTAGTATACAAACCAAGTTTGCCCCGATTCTGAAAAGAAAACAAAATTAATTTACCCTTTCAATTTAAAAGTATTATCTTTTTAGTTGCTCTTCGAGCTATAGGATTTTTTCTTTCTTTTTTTTTTTTTAGATGTGGACACTGGAGACATCATAAACTCTGATAGCTCACTCTTACTTATATCTCCCCAGTTTAAATTTTTCACTTTATTCTCTCTAAATATATGTTTTTTGACCTCACAGTGACATCTAGTTTCTTTGTTCCTCCATTCCTATCCCTGTCCTAGCCCCTTTTCCTACTCTTTCCAATCTGGACCCAAGCTAGTCTTCACAGTTCTCTCAATTCTCTGGTACCCATGACCTATCCAATCAAACGATAGTAATAGTTCCTTTATCTATTTTTCTCCTACCACTCTTAGGTGGTATAAACCAGAGAGAATCACAGAACTGTGCAAGTCGGGACCATGGAAAATTCACCCACATTTGTAAACCCTCCTTCCAACTAGCTACTCAGTGCCTTAGTCCCTCATTTTCAGCAAATGCCTTTGCTTCCTGCTTCATTAAGAAAATTGAGGCCATCGGGCTGTCTTGTGTAAACACATTTATACACACTTAATTTTGTGGGGTTTTTTTTTTTTTTTCAACCTGGAATGACAGGCTTAGTGGCTTAAGTTCAAGGCCATCCATCCTCTTACTCTGTCCTATCTGCCATTCTCTTTCTTTCCAATATCTTAAATCAATCAATCCCTCCTCTCTCTCTCCCTCTCTCTCTCTCTCTCTCTCTCTCTCCCTCTCCCTCTCCCTCTCCCTCTCCCTCTCTCCTGGATGCTTCCTGTCTGCTTTATCTTTTTAAGTAAAATTCAAATTTTTCTCATCCAACGATATCAAAAGAACGTTTCATCCATATTTACTCCTCAAACCACTGAAATTCTCTTTGTGCTTTCATTAATTTATGGAAAGTATTATTATCAAGGGATTCAGTGATCTCCTTGAATCAAACCTAGTAAATATTTTTCAGGTCTTAATCTTTCTGGACCACTCCGCCACATTCAGTACTGTTGATTCTTTTAAAAATGTTTTTCCATTGGCTTCTAAGGTGCAATGAACTTTTCATTGTCCTTTCATAAACTTCTTGTTAAATTTTCCACATAGGGCCCCTCCTCTTCCTTTTGCACATTGTCTGCATAGGTTATTGTATCCATTCTCACGGATTCATTTTTTGCCCTGTGATAAAGATTTCCGCTTCTAAATTTGTGACCCATTTTTCTCCCTACAGTTTAAGGCTTATTCAACTGTCTGCTTCATTTCTTATATCTCCCATAGGTACTACAAACTCAGCATGCTAACATGGAACTCATCATCTGTTTCTTTAAGCCGGTATCTTCCAACTATATTTACTGATTTAGTTAATGGAGTCATCAACCACTCAGTTTAAGAAATCTGGAAACTTGAATTTATCCTTTACTCTTCCTTCTCCTTTCATTAGTAACATAAACAATATTTGATTTAGTTTTTTCACTGATAATTGAATTTGTTCCTATAGTCTCCATCCCTACTTCTGCTATCATCCAAGTGTCTTACCTGAACTGGTGCAACAATCTCCTAAATAGCCATTTTGTCCATAAACTAATATGCTATAAATCTTTCCTTTACACCTTTCAGAAGTATCAACATAACACATATTCTGACTGTGTCCGCCTCGTACTTTAAATCCTTTAATACTGTAGATGTAGATACACTAACCTACACATATGATAAAAAAACATTGTATAGAACTAAATACACACAGAGACACACACACACAGACATACAGAAAACTATGAGTAAAACTAAGAATTTCTGAATAAGATCAGTGGACGGTATCAATGTCAATCCCCTGGTTGTGATATTGTGTAATAGTTTTATATGATGCCACTATTGGGGGAAAGTGTACATGGACTTGCTCTGTATTACTTATTAAAACCGCATGTGAATCTATTGTACATTGATCTCAAAATGTAAAAGTTCATTTAAAAATATCTTGCAAAAAATATCCTTTAATACTAGTAGAAATATGGAAGTATGTGAGCTTTAAACATAGCATACAAGTTTCTACTTCCCTCTTCAACTTAGTCTCCCGACATTCCCTTCCCCCAACTTTTACACTGTAATAACACAGTTGCTTACATACATCAAGTTATTTTCCATTTTATTATTTTGCTTATGCTATTGCCATAAGCTGCTCACTTATACCATTAGTCCTTACCTGGCCTGGATAATTTCGCCTCATTATTTAGGGCTGTTTAACCCCTTAGATGAGATAATATAGTTTATCTTTATTATTTTATAGTGTTATCACACTCTTATACATTTATTAGAGGTTTGTTTCCCTGCCTGTCATTCTGCACCATGGCCATTCTGCACATGGAAGTAAATGCTCATTATACTTCCTGGCAAATAATAGATTCTCTATGTATGTGTGACTTGAGTAAATGAAAGTGCTTCTCCATATAGCTTTGAAATTATCAACAGTACATTCAATGAATGCTATTATTTTCTATTATGTAACTAGACCAGAGCATTCATTTGCAAATTTAAAATGACTATTCTAATCCACTATTTAACTCTTTGTAATAATAATAAAAGTAATGATTAAGAGCTTTGCTAATTTCATCCTGGGTAAAATTAGTCTACTGATAATCACAATGAACCACATACTAAGATGATCTGTGTAGATAATATACAGATTGGAAAAAAGCATGACCTGAGAGTGCTGATGTTGTCCTTTACGTATACAGAGATCAAGGTTATTTTTATTTTTATTTTTTTAATGTAAAGACAAACTTGAGGATCCAGCAACCAAATAAAGAAAACAGAAATAGGATTCATTTGCATCATATTCAGATGTTTGCTTATCCCTTAGTCTAACTAGAATTCCATACTCCAATTAAAAACCGCCCACACACACATCAAGGCAGGTAACTAGTGATTAAAAAAAAACAAAAAAAAAACAAACAAAAAGAAAACCAATCTAGGTCCAGAAACTTGAGTTTATTATCCCTGGGCATGATACTAAGATGGTAGTTATGAGAGGGGTGATTATGCTGAGGGTGAAATTTAAGTTTCTAAACTTGCTTCTGTTTTCGGATTTTACTATTTTACTTGCTGGAGGCTGAATGGGCAGATAATCAGTTAAGACATTTATAAAATGGGTTTAATAATAGGTCAGACGCTGTCAGACTTAATGAGGGAATGTTTATTTTCTTTTTGAAATCTACAGAACATAGATTGGATAGAAGTGCAGAGTGTAACAACATTATTAGTTTTAAAAGAAAAAAGCTTTGATAGAAGACATGATTGTCTGATTTTATTGCAAAATGGAATCCACGACAGTACCTGAAAAAACACAATTGTGCAACTTGTAAACTTTGCTATATATACCTGCATGATTTTGAAGATTCACTTGATTTTTCTTCTTGATCAAGTATGTTTCAATGTAAGTATTTTGTATCATAAATATAGAAACTATAATCTTAGTTGTTGTTGTTTTTGTCCATTTAAGGTTCGTAGAAACCCCAGCTCATTTCTCTTGGAAAGAAAGTTATTATCGATCCACTATGTCCCAGAGCACACAGACAAGTGAATTCCTCAGTCCAGAGGTTTTCCAGCATATCTGGGATTTTCTGGAACAGTAAGTATCAAATTAGCAAAAAAAAAAAAAATGTTATGCTTGAACTAGTGTAAATAAGTAAATATGAATGTTCAAAATATTGCCTTAGGATGGAGTATTTCTAGAATCAATAAAAACCAGTTAATATTGTTGAGAAAATGTATTCCTCCAATAGTATCTCTGTGTTCAAATGCAGTGGTGATTTATTCATTTTCCAACATTAAAAAAAATCATTATTATTTCACAGCGGTGTAGTTGAAAGATCAGAAGGATCTCCTGCCCAACCCCAAATAACTTCCCCAATGGCTCCCTGATACTCAAAAACCTATTCCTTTAACTTAAAAACTTATTTATTGTTACAATTCAAATACCCCATCGGAAAGTAACACACTAAATTTTTTAGTCATTCATGCCTTGCAAGAAGGATTATTATCTCTTCTCTTAAGATCTAGATTGGATAAATGAATAATTAAATGGAAAGTGAACAACTATCAGAGCACTGGGGACAGTGTAATAAAAATACTCTATCCCTGATACATTTGTTCTTTCCCGTGTTCTACCTAGTAATTCTTTGATGAGGGCACAGTTCATGATTCCTATTTTATAAATAGAGCTTAGATTTGAGCTGCCTGTGATTACACATCTGGTAAGTGGTTGGGCCAGGTTTCCTAAGGTTTCTGATTCTAACCAATGAGCCTTGCCAACTTTGAAACAGAAAGCTCATTGTTACCAACTGGATGAGTATGTTTTAGTCCCTTTCCATGCCTAACACACTGTTTTGTTGGGTTTTCCTTTATTTTAGGCCCATATGTTCAGTTCAGCCCATTGACTTGAACTTTGTAGATGACTCATCAGAAAATGGCGCAACAAACAAGATTGAGATTAGCATGGACTGTATCCGCATGCAGGACTCGGACCTGAGTGACCCCATGTGGGTGAGTGGCATGGTCTTCCCCTGTAACCTGTGAGCCATGCTATCCACATTTCTGTTACACCTGTGTTTTTCATGGCATATGAAAAGGCAGGCGGCTCTGCATGGGCAATGCCATTGGAAAGTGAGTCAATGTGCTCAGCAGACAGAAAATGTAGGAGCTCGAAAATTCTAGGTCTGCTTCAACTGTCCATAAGGCATATGTTTCCGCTGGTGGGGAAGGTGGTTGGAAATAATTCCTTACCTCCTTTGTCTGAATTGCTTTTCATGTCTATCTTGATTTAGAGAGGATGGTACCTGCCTAAGGTTTTACAGTCAGAACCTGCATTCTATCCAAAGCATTTTCCACTATGGCAAACTTCCTCTTTCATGAACTATCTTTCTTTAATGAAAGAGGATAAAGTAAATTCTATGTGAACATACAGATTTAAGTACCTGATAATAGAATAAGAGGAAAGAAGATAACTAATACATAAAACAGGCTTTCTTTGGATTTACCACTGAGTCACTCATGACCTGAGGCCTCAGTTTCTCATCTATGAAATTGTGAGAACGTTTATGCCACACACCTCCCAGACAGCTAACGAGTGTAATGGGATAATGATAGTAAAACACTTTCCTGAGATGTTTAGATGACATTTCCTGTTTTTGTGCAATCCATAATGCTGATGGATGTTCTTTTCTTTCCCTTTTTAAAGTCATTCATTTACCACACATGTCCTGCTGCTTTTCCTATAAAAATTAAAAACAAAACGCAAAAAAAAAAATTTCTAGAAAAATAGAAAAGAAAAAAAGAGCTAGAAAGAAGATAGAGTTGCACAGAATGTCTACTGATGTGATTAAAGAGAGTACTTCATAAAATGCCTTGCTTTTGCGGGGCAATTTACTTTATTTCAAGGAATGGTACAAATGAAAGAACTTCAGTATATGTTGGTATACCTTACCTTTCTTGCCTAATATATGATTTTATTGGAATTTTTACAATATACTTTTAGATATGAATTGTGCTTTTTATTATTGGGAGAAGGTGAGAAGAAATAACCCAAAATAGAAAGATATAAATTTGTAAATACATTGAGGTTTTGTTGCTATTCTGACAAAGGGAAATTATTATTTCTCACTGGCCTCTTCTAATATCGATACAATTCTCAATTATGCTTGAGCTAGTGAAAGTAACTGACAGATAATTCCAAGGGGTACGTCGTTAAAGGCCTTGAATTGTATTATAATCGAACATAAATATGTGTAAATTCTGATTTGACAGTGACTTAGAAATACCCCTAATTCACTAAATAATATTGTCTCTTAAATTGATAGGTAGCACCTGCCTAGGCAAACCTATCTTTTTATATTCTCTCCAGTGATTTTCTGTTCTGATTCTTGGACTCATAAATGCAAGCAGAGGTTGTAAAATTTAAAACTGAGGATCAAGCCTTTTCTTTTACAGTTCCTATTATTATATTTTCACATACTGAAGTATGTGGGGTTTTTTTTAAATGTCATGCTGTTTCTTGCTTCTTTGTTTTATTAAAGATTTTCTCCTTGAGAATATCCTTTTTTTTTTTTTTTCTGCTCTCTAGTCAATTTCTACCTATCCTGCAGCACCCAGTGTGTCCTACCTTAACCCGGAAAACTTTCTGTATCACTATGCTCCACTAATGTGAATTAGAGACCATTACTCTGAAGCAACCTAGGTATATTTTTAGTCATATTATTTACTATACAATACTATAGTTGTTTATTTCTCTGTCTCTAAAGGGGACAGTGGCCATATTTTGTCATGCCCAGTATTTGTTACAGTGGCACATAGTAAGTCATCAGTAATTTTTGAAGTCAAACAGAATGAGACTTGCAAGTTATTAAGAAATCAGAAAGTGCTCTTTCAAACAGCCTTGTCCAAAAGAACTTTGCTCCTCCAAGGCATTGCTTTTGAGAGAAACTTGAACTCCATTTCTCCTTGAGCACTTCTTTTTTCTGTCAATGTTAGGGATGATGTGTGGGGAAATTTCCACTCTTCCCCCATGGGATAGTCATACAATAGAGAGTCTCCACCCTTTCCCACTCTCTGAAGAGACACAGTACACCAGTGGTGATTAGGAATGTGGAAATGGAGTTTTACCATCACTTAGCACCTTTGAGCTTGAAATTGTTTACCTGATTAAATTAAGGATAACAAGAAATTAGAAAATAAGACCCAGGGTAGAAACATTCATGAGGAGTGAAGGATTAAAATGATTCAGAGAAAGCTAGAAAACAAAAGGAAAAGGGGTTTTGCAAGTAAGGGGAACAAAATAGGTCACTTGGAAACAACTATATTGAAAGGAATGTACAAGTAAAGTAAAACAAACAAACAACAACAAAAAACCTTGTCTATCTGTGGCTGCCTTATTTTTGTCTCTAAAGAACTGAAACACTGATCGTAAATTATCATTTTATATGGATCCTGGGTCTACCCTTGTCTTACAACTATTCCAACATCCTCATATGCTTGTGTGTCCACATGTGAAGGCCACATAGATGGGACTAGATAACAATAATAGTTCTCTGCAACAGCAGTGGCAAATGGTGGACTTTCTCAGGCTGTTACAATTAGTGTTTTAGTTTGGAAAGTTAAGAACTGGGATCTTCTGAGATTCCTAGTCTTTCTGAACTGACAGCTGCTGCAACTGGTGTGAGGCTCTTTTCTTCCATTACTTGGCAGAATTTTTTTAGTTTTCTGTGTATAGGTTAATAGCTAATAGTTCCAAAACTCTGCCCATAAATTCCATTGCTCTTGAATATAATATAAAAAAATTTGGGATCTCAGCCAAGCATCCGTTTACTATGCAAGAAATATGAATCTGTGGACAGGAAACGACATGTCAAATGATGAAGGATAGAAATCTTGAAATTGAGAGTGTCATCCCATTTTTATTGATTTTTGATGCACCCAATCACCTTAGCAACTAGTCATGAAATGGGATCCCATTTTGCTCTAATTATTAACAAAGAAAATTTGGACTGTAGAGAATGTGTGTGTCTTTTGCGTTTGAAGGATTTTAATGTCACTGAAGAATGTGCTGCATTGGATTAGCAAGACCCTTGTTGGCTTTTGATTCTGTTGTCTGATATATGACTTGATATCTCAGCTTTGCATTATTTGTAAACTGTCTAAGCATGCCTGTCATGTCTTCAAGAGGTGGATAATGATGCTAACACTTAAATGTTCTCTTGGAATGATGGATGGAAACTGTATAACTCTTAATTTAGCATTTGTTTATTCTTGATAATTTGAAGAAAGCCCTGTTTAGCTGAACTGGGTTTTTTCCCTAGTGATATGAGTAGTAATTATCTAAAACCATCTATTTTTGTAAATTCTTATTATAGCATCCCAGATATCCATGAAGAGCCTACATTTCAAAGGAGCAGGTAGTATGTTTGTATTTGGAAAGGCTTATGCTACAGCACCTGCCATAATGCTCTACATCTTATATGGCCCACGATTCATATAAGATTTCACATTAATATACAAGATCTAGTCACAAGCATTTCTTTAACACTTGTTATATGCTAAGTTCTTTGTGATACAAATAAACAAATCATAGTCTCTAGCCTTGAGAAGACCATAATAGAGCAGAAAGGTGAATGTGTATAAAATTACTTACGAGAAGTACTCAGATGTATATATATTTTTTAAAGTCACATTAAAGGAACAATTTATTGTGCATGCAAAAGACTGGTGATATGTTGCAGAAATGAAATATGAGTCAAATTGATTAAAACAGGGAAAGGAAAAAGTAGTCCAAGTGATGATAACTGTTATAAAAATAATTTATTAAAAAAGCGTAATATAAATCTCAATAGTTTTAATAGATTGAAAATTTTGGCAAAGGAGAAATTTACATAAGATGTAAATTTTAAAAATTACAATACATGTGTAAAGTTTAATAGCCCTAAGAAATTAAATAATTAAAAATTAATAAAAGAAACATTAAATATATTTTCCCACCTTTTGGCAAAAAGTATAAGTAATTCACAGATGTTTAACAGATATGTTGAATATCTCTAATAAAAAAAGAAACAAAACAAAAAAAGTGTACATTCAAACAATGAGATTATTTATTATCTATCTGGTAGCAAAGATTTAAATGATTGATAATATCAAGTGCTGGTGAGATTGTTGGGAAACAGTCAATCTTTCCACTTCTGGTGGCAGCGTAAATTGACATAATATATTTTGGGGGCAACTTGCCCATTCTAATTTATTTAACTTTAAGGCACTTACCCTTTGGCCCATAAGTGCCACTTCTAGGATTTTTATTCACAAAATGATTCAATTATAAACAAGTATATGTAGAAACACACACATATATGCATACAGATATACGAGGTCAGACAATTAAGTTCCGAACTTATTGCAACAATATTGTTAACCTTTCATGATATCAGAGGGATTCTTCATTATGAATTTCTACCAACTGGACAAACAGTTAACCAAGTCTACAACTTGGAAGTGCTGAAAAAGCTGCGTGAAAAAGTTAGACGACCTGATCTTTTCACCGATAATTCATGGCTCTTGATTCATGACAATGCACCAGCTCACAGGGCACTGTCTATGAGGGAGTTTTTAGCCAGTAAACAAATTATTGGAGCGCCCTTCCTACTCACCTGATCTGGCCCCCGATGACTTCTTTCTTTACCCGAAGATAAAGGAACTATTGAAAGGAAGACATTTTGATGACATTCAGGACATCAAAGGTAGTATGACGACAGTGCTGATGGCCATTACAGAAAAAGAGTTCCAAAATTGCTTTGAAGGGTGGACTAGGCACTGGTGTCAATGCACAGCTTCTGAACGGGAGAACTTCAAAGGTGACCACAGTGATATTCAGCAATGACGTATGTAGCACTTTTTCTAGGATGAGTTTGTGAACTTAATTGTCTGACCTCATACACACACACACACACACACACACACACACACACACACACTCACTCACACATATACACATTTGCAGAAAGGAA